TCTCTTTGTGAATGCTTCGTTTTTTCCCCATTCAAAGGTCCAAAGGCCGTCATTTACAGTTCACAGAATAAAAGCGCAGATGTTCTATCTCGAACTTGTTGTCCTGTTTACACATTCCTTGTCATCGGCGTAAATGAATGTGATATTTCTTTTTTGTTTTTTGTTTTCATTTTCATCCCAAATGCAATGCCAAAATAGGTCATCAGTCTAATTTCGAAATTCCTTTTGTTTTTTTTTAGATCCATGGTCCGATCAGTATAAAACGAGATTTTATGATATATTTCTGAATTTACGACGGCAATTTTCACATTTGCAAGTTTGTTTGTCAATGAAAATTTGAACAAAAAATCATTTTAAAAACTGTGAATTTTCACACTGATTTCCAGATAGTTTTGGGAATTTATGATCATCCCGACGATGGAATGAATGCAATGGATCGATCGCTGTTTAATAAAACCATTGTGGAATTTCTTCTCGAGTACAAATTCAATGGCTTGGATTTGAAATGGGACTTGGAGAAAAAAAGGTTTGTTATCATTTTCCTTATATTTTAACTCTATCTGGATACTAACTCTGTTACTAACTTATAATATTAGCGTTTGTCCAAGCATTTTTTACTTCGAAAAATATTTTCGATTGAATCAATTTTTATTCATTTCCAGTGGTAATGATGCCATCTCGGAGGCATCTCCAGCAGTAAATGTGCTGTTACTAGCAAAATTGTTGCGAGAAGAATTCGAACCGCGTGGCCTATCACTGTCATATTCCTATGCTGCCACTGAAAAAGTCCTTCTCAATGCCAATCACGACTACCGTGCGTTGTGCAACTATTTGGATTACATGTCTTTCATGTTGCTCGATGACTTCGACTCGTTTCACAATAAATTTACAATCAGTGACATATTGAATGCGAAAAGTATATCGCATTTAAAGCAAACAATTGATGATATTATCGAAATTAATGTGCCATCGTCGAAAATTGTGATGGGCTTGCAGTTTGCTGGAATGGAATTTCAAAATCTTCTTGATTCTTCTAGGATATTTCATTTAGTAGACAGTAATTTGGGCTATAATGTACTTTGTCACTCGTTATCGACATTACTTTATGACGTTGAGACAAGTTTGGCCGTGTCCAGGCGCGAAGACAAGGCTACAGGCGACATATATGTGGTCGTATTTGA